AAGTACTTACCTCAATGCCACTCTAAGTGATGACATATACATGAGGGCGCCTCCAGGATACTTAAAGCCAGGAGAGGAAGAAAAGGTCCTAAAGCTGTTGTAAAGTCTTTCAGAAGTAAAACAAGCTGGATATTAGTGGTTAGAAAAGCTGGAGAAGTTTTTCTTAGACACAGGATTTAAATGCTTACAAGTAGACCAGGCCATTTTTTTTGATGAGGAGAAAAAGAACACATAGTCATAACCATATCCATTGATGATATGGCCATGATATCAAAGTACCTGAAGCACATCATCAGCTCAAGGAAGAACTACAAAAACATTTCAAAATAACGGACTTAGGAAAGCTTACCTGGCTGTTAGGATTGAAAGCGGAAAGAAATAGAAAGGAACAAATGATCACACTATCCCAAGAAGCCTACATCAACACAGTCATTGAATGATTCCATCTTGAAAACACAAAATCCACACAGATTCCTATGGAGACCGGTGTACAACTAGAAAAAAGACAATCAGACTATCCACTAAGCACTGAATCTCAAATATTTGAATAACACATGCCATATCAATGAGAGATTGGTTTACTGATGTATGCAGCAACTAGTACAAGGCCAGACATAGTGCTAGTGGTATTGGTATTATTGCAATTCATCCGAGAGCCTGAAAAAAGCACTGGGAATCTGCTAAATGAGTTATACACTATCTAAAAGGGACAAATAATGAGAAACTTACCTTGGGAGCAAAGCCTGGAAACCTTGAGGTGTATGTTAATGCTGATTGGGCAAGCCAGCCACATAGGCACTCAATATCTGGATACATTGTGCTATTGCATGGTGACCTGCACCAAACTGGTTCAGTGTATGGACGACTAATACTCTCCCATGAGTCCTATACCCCAGAATATCACTATGAAACTCTTTGCCCTTCTATCTGAAGTCAGACTGAGGCTAAGGGAATATTTTTTGCATTTCTTTTCATTTTCCAAGTTTGTACACGAGCAGATTGAATATTTTAGTACATTTAATTCTGCAATGAGTTTTGCTTAGTCAGCAATGGCGATGACCCAGACCAAATCCCACACATGTCAGGTGACTGTGAAAAATATTTCCCACATATGTTGTCCTGGAAAAACATAAGTAAAACCCTAAATACTAGGCTTGCATCAGTTTCACCCATCATATAAAAAGAAAAACAAGAAGATGGACACACAGGGAATTCACATCATATAATATTTTTCACTCCCTTCCTGGATTTGTCATCAGAAGTTGGATAGGTCACATGACTAGCAACAGACCAGGATGACTCAGCTATATACCTAATGACTTATCGTTTGAACTAACTCATTATAACTAGAAATAACTCTTGATGACTCCTGAATATAGTAGTAGCACAGCCACATTTAATGTGTATATAATGACCTCAGTTTTTGACAATAAAAAAGAGATACCCGGTTTACAGTCCATCTAGCACTAAGTTGTGAGTAAGGTGTGATAAGTGTCAGTACCAGTGTCAAAGACTGAGAGGACCATTCTCAAGAGACAGTGAATACTGCAAGCTCATCATACCAAGCAACCAGCTGAGAGCTCACTGTGTGCAACAACCAGCAAGTAAGGTACAGCCACAGTTATATTTGAATTCTATTTTCTTTTTCTTGTCTTTTGTTTTACTTTCACTGACCTTTGGTGTTCTTTTTCCAAAAACATATTCCATAATATTTGTGTTGTCTCTATGTCTACCTAAGACTCAGAATAGCTTAGTGGGGAGACTTTAGGAATTGATAGTGAAGCTTGACTTCACTCATCTGATGGTGATACTAAGCCAAGGTTTTCTTTGCCTGATAGGCTTTAGTTGTTGAAGAGGGGACTTGGTAGTAAATCCAAGGATGTCCGTTCCTGAGTCTGTTTGAATACTTGCAGAAGAGTTCCTTGACAGCAGGCTCAATATTGAGCTAAGAGTTCTACAATAAAGCATCAATTAGTCTTAACCTTTGATTCTACCTATTTTGTGCTGAGAGGGTTGATCATTGTAATTCTGCACCATTCTTTTGGAGTATAGTTGGTACGAGGCACTATTGTTGAAAGGAAACTTGAGGAAGAATCCTATATTCTTTGGTTATTGCCATACTGTCGGGCTGACCATTACTTGTTTATTTTTCTGTTAATCCTATATTGTTGGATTAACCATCGTATTTACTGATCTTGCAGAAGTACCTTTAGCTGAATTGTACCTTGGGTAGTATACAACAAGCCACCTACGAACAACCATGTTATCAGTCATTAGTATTTGTCTGAATCGCTGACTGTGGAGATATTTGTTTTTATAGGTATTTATCTATAGATCATCTATCTAAGAAGACAACGGATCACTGGTAGCATGGAGCGTGAGGAAGCAATCATTAATTGCCCTGTCAACAGCAGAAGAGGAATATATCACATTGACATATGTAATGAGGGAAGTGTTATATCTTCAGTTATTGCTGAAGGAACTCTATACACTACAGGCATTTTCCCATTTTTCTCCACTAAACATCCAAAAAACATTGATTGAGAAAATAGAATTTTCCTCTCATTTTGTCTGTCAAAATGTTGAAAAAAATAATACATATTTCAATGATTTTTTGTGTGTAGGACATGATGCAAAAATTTATCATGTTCCTTCAAAGATAATGTTATATTTTCTATCTATTGTCCTTTAAATAGCAGTTTACAACTCCTACTATCATACCAAGAGAACAAGGGGTCGTCCACAAGCACTGGTACCACCAGGGCAAGGTTATGAAGGGCAGCAAGGAGACAAAGGTCCTCTTGTTCATTGAGAAAGACTGACTGAACTTCGCCCATGCGAGCTGTCTCTGAAGGAAGATCCAGGTATGCATATGAGCTATCTAGTAGGTCAGTGCCAAAAAAAGCATTTGCCCTTAAGAGATGCTTGGTAGGTGTGAAGGCCCCTCATGAAGCTACTGATACCTCACCAAAGCGCAACATGCTAAAAAACATGCAGGCTGCTGAAGGTACAACAATTCAGATGGTGAGTCTGAACAATGTTGGGTCTTGCAGAACCTAGCTGCTATTCGACCCTGAAGGGTTTCTGGACCAGGCTCAAGGCTCAGAGGAGAGGAAATGTCATAAAAACTACTGAAGACTCAGACTCATATTGGTAACTGGTGAAAAGGTAACTTCCTCATGTAAGCTACAAAAGTACCAACATAAGGTAAGGTAAAAACAGTCTCTACAAGCCCAGCCAAAAATGAATCCCTACACTGCCATCACCCAGATGCAGGTGTCAAAGGGGTCAGAGAGTGTCAACATAGCTTTGAAGGCTGTTAACATTGGCAAGGTGATTGGTGAACAAAGGGGCTTTCAGCAGTTGTTTTGCAGGTTCTCAAGTCCTCACAAAGACCAATTGATATGGCTATGGTAAATATCTGATAAGGGAGGAGGCCAACCCTAGGCCACATGTCAAGCTCATACTGTAGATAGGTATTTTCATGCAACACCAACTGAGACTGGTTCAAATGGGGTTTGGATGGGGATTGAAAGTATTGGATCACCAGGATCTAGGTTGGTGACAACCCATAAAGTGAATGAGTGAAGTAGTTTGAAGGATGCTGGAAGTTATTTAGCCTCAGAAATTGAAAAAAGCACAGAATCAATGGAACTTTCGAAGACCAGCTCTGTAACTTGCTGTGTCATGGAGGGATGCTCAATTTGTGAGGCTAGTAATATGGCAAATGATTGGGTTATTAATGCTAGAAAGGGGGGAGAGTTCCCCCCCCTCCCCTAGAGGACAATCTGCTTGGATACTTTGCAAGGTGGGCGGAGTAAGGAGGGTATGGGACTCAGAAGGGGAAGGATAGAATGTGCAGCTGATGAAGGGCTGTGAAGCATCATTATGACCATGGAATTAGCTTGCCTGCAAGATGCAAGAGCAGAGGGATTGAGACTGGGTATAAGGCTTTAGGGAAATTAGCATTGAAGGGTGGGATGTCTCCTCAAGAGAGAGTGCCTGTAATATTGAAGTGGCAGGGGACATAGACTGTGGATAGGCACATACAACATTCTGCCTGTAGGCAATAAATATGCTTGAGTACTACAGGAGCAGCCTTTGTTGGTAACTACAACAATACTAATGTTGTCTGAATGAATAAAATAGCAGAGGTTTGATGGTATATCCTTGGATATAATATCTTATGCAATAGTCAGAAACATAGGCAGTTGGTATGAACAACAAATAAAGGTATCCAGCTAAAGAGCCACTTAAAACCCCAACTTGATAGCTACTGCCTTGGCCCAACTGATGTTGAACACATGTGATAGCCTAACCTTAAAGCCTAGTGCCTAATGCCAGATGGCTCAATGGCCCTGGACAATAATGCCGATGCCAAATGAGGTGCTGGCATCACCCCACCAGCTGATGTCTATTGGAGAGGATACAGTGATTGGAATGCAGTTTAGAAGGAGTGATAGCAGGAGTTGTATCTATGGAAGATCTGCAGCAACTGCAGAAGATGGGTGAAAGTGAGCTCAAGCAAAGCAGAAGCTTGCTGGAAAGAAGAGCTTCTCCTCTAGGAGTGAGACAAGCTTGTGGTTGAGATCCCAGTCAAAACCAATATACCTCTGAATCACTGTGAAACAGTATAGCTTCTTAAGACTCCACAGAACACCACAGTAACTTGTTAATACTATAAATTCTGCCTCAGTCCATGATTGATAGGAAAGCCTGATCACTAAGAAGTTGTCTACTTATTTGAATTAATTTAAAGTCTGTCTTGCCATACAATACCATGAGTATATCTGCCACAGAGCCAAAGACACTGGCACTGGAAGATAGCCCAAACATGAGTGCCAGTCTACATAAACAATACCTTTCCAAAAGATGCAGAGAGAGTTCTGTTGCAAGAGCAAGACTGGAACAATGCAATAGGCTAAGGAGACATTGAATGTTGCAGCAACATAACCCAGGGGTAACAAGAGAATGATGGAGGCTGTGTCTTTGAAGGTGCCTCAAACAGTGGGGAAATCATCTGCATTTACAGAATGAACATTGTAGTGTAGTCCAATAGTTGGATGATGTATCTTCATCCATGAATGAAACTCCTCTGACCTGTGCATAGACCAGACATCAATTTGCCAGATTGTCTTCTGTATCTGCAGCAGACCTAGCTCCTGCTTCTTCTGCTCAAAGTAAGGAGCAATGATGTTGTTGACGAGGGAGTACATGGTTGCGTGTGTTGACTAATAGGTTTTTGTATTTGAATGTTCAAATTGAAATCTGGCATTGATACAGTTTTCATAGTTCAGTGCGGACTGGCTTAGGCAGAACCCTTTCGAGTAACCTTGATAGATAGCTTGCAGGGGTAGGAGTGTGCCATCATTTGAAATGAAAACCATGATGGTAAATGCACATTTCTCGTCATTGCCAACAGTTGATATTTGCTTTGCTTCAGTTTTTACCTATGTCAGTTGGGAACCCTGCACATACATAACCTGTGTTTGGTCAGAATTAATGTAGTGCACAGAGAGTATATCTTTCTCTTTGATGGTATATACTAATTGAAGGAATGAGTTCACATAATTCCTCCCAATTTTCAGGTATCTTTTGTGCAGCTTGAGTTGCCCATCTCTCTGACCAATCCAGGGTATGATGTAACCAGTGTCATACAAATGCATCAGAGCACTGAAATTGGGATCCATCTTTTGCTTGCTGATGAAAGACCTGTGGTGCCAAATCTGATATGACAGTAATCATGACGGCTTGAATGGTCACAAGGGTAAGCATGGCTCCGCCTTCCCAAAGTCTTTCCAGATGCTTGATGATGACTTGTTCAACAGCTAGGTAATTTGTCTAAATCATATTAGGATGCATTGATGATGAGATAGTAAGTATACACACCAAGATCCCCTTTGTACCTCCTTTCGAGTGACCCTGATAATTACCCAGCTCTGCCATACAAACTGCAGCATGTGTCCATCTTGGCTTTCCTGCATGGTCGATCCAGCCCTCAACTGTTGATCGTGTGAGGCCTTTGAAAATTATCAGGTCTTTCTGCTGTAAGTATCAAATAAGATGTGACGAGCTCCACATGACTAATGGATGTGTAGCAGCATTGTTGATTTGAGCCCATGTAAATAGGCCATGCCAGCTATGGTAGACTGCATCCTGCTTTTTATGTATGTGTTTTTGTCTAGGTTGATGCTTTGTGTTCTGATGCTCATGCTTGTGTTCTCTTGCAGCTCAATTGGGTCTTGATGATTCTGCAATAGAGGTTCATGCTCATTTTGCTATACTGTCTTTCATGGCTGTCATATCCAGCACATGTCACTGATGTCTCATTAGTCATATGCTTATGTCAGAATTTGATAGCTGCACACCTTGAGATTCCGCTTGGTCCCTTCAGGACTTCGCTCACCCCTCGCAATTTCATCCTAACGCTGCTGCTGGCGATGCTTCTGCTGCCTTTTCTTATTCTCTTCTTTGACCACCATTTGCTGCCTTTGGTCTGCCATCTCCTGGTACTCCTGAGCCCATTGCCATCCCTCATCCAGCTTGGCTTCAACTATAGTGAGTTGAACAAGAAGTTCTTCACGTGTACAAGGCTTTAAGAACCTCATTAGGCCACATGCACATCTAGCCTTTTGGTCTTCAATAGCATCATGAATTACTGATTGGCATAATTCTTTGGTATGTGGTTTCTTTTCGAATGGAGTGGTTGATGTCTCTGATTCATGCACCATTAAGCTCCATTTGACTGGGGTGCTTGATTTCTCTGACCCTTGGTTGTTGGCGGTTAGAATAGGTCAGTCAACATCAACTTTGCCAGCCAATACAGAATTCTAAAGGAATATAAGGGCTCGTAATATTTTTCAGTCAAGCTACATACCTGATTGAGATGTCGGTCAATCACATCTAACATGATCTTGAGCCTGCCAATCCTCACTTGTGAAGCTGTGATCAAGGAGTATTCTGAGGGGAGAACATGATGTGTGAGTGCATTGAATGAGAGAAGCCCACATGAGAAGCTATCCTTCTAGTGGGTGATGATAAGTGATTTTTCCTCAAAATGTTGACCAGTGTGATGGTGTGTCTACCAGTGCAGCACTGTGAGGAATTCAGTTGAAGGCTTTGTGTAGATCGAATTACCATAGAAGATTGTAGAGGATTCGAAGTCAATGATGACTGCAACCCAGTGGTTTTCATTGATGTTAACCAAGAATCCAATGCAACTGCCAAGGCCTGAAGCCATTGCATCTCCTGTTTCACATGCACATGCAAAATAGCGGCCTTTGTATTCTCCAGAGTTGTGTATTTCATACACCTTCTTCAAGAACCTATAGAAGTAAATATTCTCAATCTTGATCTTTTGGCTTTGTGGCTGACACTGAACTCTCCTCCACAGTAGGTCGAGCATCTGGTTCTCATAGACATCAGACAGCCAATCATCAGTAGCATACACTGCTAGCTTGACAACTGGCTCTGCAACAGCAAAACCATCAAGTGTCCCAGACCAGGAAATGCAGGTGAGAGTATTGTAAATCTTCATAACCAATGTTCAAGCTTCTTCACCCCTCTCATTTTTCCACAGCTGAGTCCTCCTTTCCATGTTTTGCTCGGCTTGAATCCATGGTTCAAGATGTTTGTGATGAAGCATTACAACTTCATGCCAATAGGTGAGAACCTAGAGTGGGAGTTGTGTCTTACTAGCATCACCTGTAAGATGTATACACTTCAATGAAAATGCTCCATTCTCTATGGCCTCGGAACTTGATTTGGAAAGCATGCCAAGTACTTGTGTTAAGGGGATAGGCAAGTCTTGTATAAGCTGTGCATTACCAAGGGATGACTGATCTTTGGAGAAGAATGCTTAAATGGTAACGTGTTTTGTTGTGACCATAATGGCAGGTAATTTGAAGGACAAAAATTCAAGCACAGATAGGCTTTTTTGGGGGAGAATCTGAGCAAGCGCATCTTTTGGTGGCTCTAGGAGGGGGTGCATCACAATGTGTTGAGGGGCTTTACCAATGATGTTCATTTCTGTTGTCCTTGACCGAGTCCGAAATGAAAATATTTTGTACATACTATCACACTCCTGCCTAATTTGTAATTCAATGTGTCATATTTGGTGTGTCACATCATATGCTTAAGTGTCAGAATGTCAAATTGACCCAGCATGTCACAGTCACACAGGGGTGTCGAATTGAGTTGATTCTCACAGTAGTGAGCATTCATTTCAGCGCTTTTGCAGATGAAGTGTGGTGCCAGGAAACTCCGCAGGCTACATCTCAGCACCTGTACAAGACAAGTCCATTTCGGATCGGATAACATAGTATTAGCGGAACTTAGATATATATATTGTAGAAACATTTGTATTAAAATTCAGTCCATATAGTATCCATACTTCTATTCTAAAGTCTACTGCCTACAAACTACACAAGGTCATAGAGACATTCAAGCACGTTTTCGAGAAGGGGATGAAGAGACAATGGCCCAGGCTAACATAGTATACAGACAACTGTTATTGTAAATCAATGGGCAACCATCCGAAGGCAATCGGAGCGCTTTGTATTAAATATAACTCAAAGCTAATGAACTAAGGAAAATGCATGCAAAATTGAAATTGTTGTTCTTATTTTCTGCCAGAATTAAAGGTGATCCCAAGTTTGTCTGTGATCACACTGGGTTCAACATCGCGCTGCTTTCGCAAGCGTCACTTCAGCATACATTCCAAAAGACAACATTGACACGTAAAGATCATCGTACTCTTGTCATCTGATTACCAAGACCCTGAGCAAACCGCGAGCCACGTCCACGGGGACCACCGCGCAGGCTTCCTCGTGTCCTGTCTCCCCTTCCTCTACGTTCTTGAGTTTGTTCACCACGCTTCTCACCCTTGTCGCCGGTCCTGTCACCCCATCCTCCGCTACCGCCAAGTTTGATATCAAGGACCTTTTCGTTCTGCTCGAGAAGTGCGCTGACTTTGTCCGCGATAACCTGAGCAAGCTGCTGCGGACGTGAGTGCTCAATACGGTGGAATACTACCACACCAGTTGACTGATCAAGAGACGCTGATAGCTCTTCATTCCAAATCATCTTGGAAATCATTGATGTAACGGAGCGAAGCGGGAGAGAAAATGTGCGCGACAGGAGGGACAGCGATAGCGTGCTGTAGTAAGGGGCATATGTGAAAAGGTACGTGCGCAGTCCTTGCTCTTGGATACGCCTGTACATCGTGGTCAGGGGTAGAATTGTCGGTGAGATGACAAAACGCACTTTGCAAGCATTTCTTTGACTGAGACAACTTCAGGCATAAGACTCCAGATCTTGATACTTTGAATGAGGTCGCGGCATTTCTCCCACTCGCCATCTTGTAGCGCCTTGCTTGCCTGCATGATATGATCGCGTGTACTTTCAGGAGGACCCGTGAACACTTGGCGATCGGCAAAGTCGAGTAACCGGCGGAATGGCTTTGAGATCGCCTTGCGCTTCTGCTCCTCTGACTCGATGCTAGCAAGAAGGGGGACCTCGACGAGCATACTGGATACGAGGAAAGCTGCCTCGAGAAGTTCGGTATTAATATGCATATGGAATGGTAATTGACGTGACCGTTCCGCCTTTTCTTGCTCTGGCGTGAGTTGTTGTTGAAAGCGCTGTTGGTGGACACCTTGAGCGAGTAACTCCTTCACACGCTGTGTTGTGAAGATGTCTTGCAGCGTCGCTTGAGCTTCTTTTATCAACCCGCATCTGAAAGCACAAAGCCCGAGCTGTACAACGGTTCGATTATACAAGATCTGTGTTGCTACATCCGCAGAATGAATTGACTCTTGCAGATGTGACATAAGTAACATGTCTCGTGCCGTGTAGAAGTCATTGTGCAACGCGTGATGATAGATGTGACTGAGCATGGCACGAGTGCGCAGAAGGGAGTTGTCGGCTTTGTAAAGATGAACGCAAAGGGAGTGAATCAATGACGAAGTAGTGGCAGAAGATGCCAGAGTGACGCTAGGAGTTATCTCCGACGAAGCCAACGAAGATTCAAGAGCAGATACGACAGCATCAGGCTATGAACATTGTCAAAAAAAAAGTACTACTGTGGACTGACTTCAACTAACCTTGGAATAGATATGCTCCAACCGTCGCATGATTACACGTGCAAGGGGTTCCGGCTGGCTCGTCTGTTCATAGAAAGCTTGCGAACGGCTGATAGTACGATAAAGTACTTTCTCGTCCTTAAGACGGTCGACGTATTCTGTTCCATGGGGATCGATGTTTTGTAGACTCTTCGTGAATTCGTCATCCAGACGGTCTACAAAGCTGATGATGCTGCCACGAATGCGAACAACCCCATCACTCTCGGTTGCAGGATGGCGCTCAACGAGTTCATCATAATCCTCAGTGTCCTCCTGCACGGCGTAGGATGAGTCCGCAACTACTATTGAGATCAACTGATCGACTTCATGTTGCGCCGAGAGCCACAGATCAGTTGGCATATACGATGTGATCGATGAATTGTAGTCAAACCGGGATGACACGAGTGCCAGGAGGATGCGGATGCGTTGGTAGGATGTGACCGCTACTTCTAGGAGTTTCTCCAGAATGCGTATTTGTTCCCCTCGGTCGGTGTTCTACAACGTTTTTAATTGGAAGGGAGAAGAGCGAAGGAGAACATGCACACCTTCTTGCCACGAGCCTCATGAACGAGCTTTAAAGTTTTAAAAATGTTGTCCGCGGAGAAAGACATAGCTTTGCCACCTTTGCCAACTGTGGTGAACCGATCATCTAATACCGGTTCCCCGTCACTCTCAGAGTCTGTGTTCTTCTTCGGCTTTTTGGGTTTGGGGACAACAACATCGGCAGGTTGAGCGTGAGCAGTAAATTCACGTTCGAATGCTTCTGGATCCTGCGAGAGGTGAGGATCGTAGTAGAATGGTAAAAAAAAACTTACATTCTGATAC